AATACAAGTAATCCATATAAAGATATAATACAAAAGAAAGACTATAAATCATAGACTAAAAAGAAAGTAACAAAATAATAACCAGGAAATAGTCTACAGGAGGGCATTATTAGGGCCAGAATTCCAACAAATTCCGAGCCACACAGATAATGGCAGCATTCTTAACTGCTTGGTTTTATGGTTTATATTAATCAAAAGATTCATTTAAGAGCAAGAACAATGGCGGATATAATACATTGAATAGTTTATATACATAAGCACATATATTATGGAGGCAATCGATTTTGGAAAATATCATCACCAGCGTCGGAGGTAGATCCGTTTGTCTGAGAATGAAGCGCCGCATGTTGTTGAGAGGTTCCGAAAACATTTGTGTTGCCATGGCTTAGACTTCCGACTGAAGACGGAATTGGGGCAAATGCGTCAGGGTCCCCGCGAACAGATCGATACTTGGCAATTTCATTCGGAAAATAAGAGGAAAGTTCAGACATAAGCAATGCCCTAAAGCGACGAAGACTCTCCAGCTTCCCTCGGACGGCTTCATTTCTAGCTAAGGCACGTTCCATACACTCCCTGGTGTATAACTGAGGATTTTGGCCAGCATCTATTTTGGTAAAAACTTCTATGGGAACAAAAACGTCGTGAAAATCATTTTGCAGTTTGTTTACGTCCTAAAAATTAATTTTTGAAGGAGTAATTAAGGTTCGGTAGTTCTAATGTCCAGCCAGTGCACAAATATAAATATTCAGTCGTCAAAATACCTGCAATCTAATTACTAGTTCATTTATTCTTCTTTGAAAAGTAATGCTCGGTTGATAATCACATACAATTATACCAGCCTCGCGGGCATGGTTAATAATGCTTTCAATTGCTTCTTCGAGCAGCTCAAACCGATTCCTATCCCCCATTATCTAAACTGAACAGGGTAAATAATAGTGATTAAAACACTATAACCTAAAAATAAAATGCTAAGTTTTTTATTTAAATACTCTTAGATAAATTTAGCCTAAATATCGATAATTATTATGGAATATATTCGGGATCATCTCAAATTTTATTTTATACTGGTCCGGTTATTTTTGCTCAATTGTGTGAGTATGTGTATTTGTGCGTGCTAGTGTCTATATGCAATACGGTTCCTAAATCAGAGTTGTCAAAGGTTAAATCTCAGGTTCTGATCCTCAA